AGTTGCGCTTTGCTTTATGTAGTTGCGAATTCCTTAATGTAGTTGCGCTTTGCTTTATGTAGTTGTGCTTTTCTTAATGTAGTTGTGCTTTCCTTAATGTAGTTGCGCTTTTAGATTTGTAGTTGCAGTTTGCACTTCAGGGCCACCGTATAAAACAGACTAAGGCAAGGCATTAGACCACCTGCACTGCTGTTAGGGTTGTCGGTTCAAATCCTGGCTTAGAGTTTTCATGCTCTCCTTGGGTTATTTCCAGGTACTCTGGCTCCCTCCCTCAGTCCGATTACATCTTTTAGGCCAATTGGTGACTCTAAATTGCCCTTAGATGTGTGCATGGCTTTGTGATGGACTTGCAGTCATCAGACTGCTGGAGATAGAGACCCCGACACAGGCAGCAGAAGATGGACGGTAGCAACAATGCTATGCACCGTTTTTTAATTTTTTACCGTATGAAAGATGGTTTAAAGCGCTTTGTCCTCAAAGCTTCCCATTTCTGCACTACATGAAAACCAAACATAAAAGTGAGGTTTACAGGGTGGAAATAATTCAGCAAGAAACTTTTTAACAGCCAAAACAGTCGTAGTTTATTTCTTATGCTTAGGCGAGTTTTAAAGCACTTATTATCTTATACAATCCTTCTCTGATGGGCTGCCAGTTCTTTTAGGAAACTTTATAATTCCTTTCAATGTGACTTTAAATGCATGAATACTGTAGAAAAAATACTGACTGTTTATTTTCTGTCCAAATTTACCCTTCGTCCCCAGTAGAAATCTGTTACCTCTATAATAATTTTAAATCTAAAACTATTTGAGCCATTCCGACTGAAGATTTCTCACCGTCGCTAAAAAGAAATGGTTCGTTTCGATCCTCCCGCTGACCTCCAGGGACCTCGATGCCAGAAGTCCTCACTCCCTTAAACTTCTAAACTGGGGTATTCAGGCTGGAAGACTACTTCCTCCAGGTGGTTCCTGACCCTTCTGACAATCGCTGTCCTTGGAAAAAAAATCTGTCGTAGGAGAATCCCGATGACAACGCCAAATTGTAATGGGAAAAAAGTATTTAACTATTTACTTCAGTTGAATAAATGGAGATCGATGGATTTCACTCAGTCGGCACTTTATTTTTATCTTTGCAAAGAGAGAAACAGTTCCTCATAAGGCCCTTATTGCACAGTAGAGACTGAAATTTTTTGGGGAATCCCACGGGTCACGGGATTCCCGTGGGATGGGAGTCAGTATTAGTAACGATTGGGACGGTACAGGATTAAAGCTACAGTGTGTAATAATTACAGGGCTATACAGTCAGAAATGTAATATATTATACATAACTATGTTATTTATCATCATCTACGAGCTCAGCCTCTTATGCTGCGTTCACACCGGG